AAAAAAAAAAAAAAAAGCCTTTTGAACTTTGTATGCTTACTGACTTTTGAAGAATTGAAAGAACTCAAAGTAACTACTTGATACTAAACCAGCATTAGCAAGTTTTAGAAAGAGGAAAGCAAGGGCTCGTTCATCCATTACACCCCCCAACCCCCATTCTTTTATCCATATACACTATAGAGGTTATGTGATTTGTTGGGAGTGTCACAGTTCCTTACTTGTTACTTGCATCATGGGTGAATGACAATGACAGACGTTCACAAGTTTGCACAGAATAAGGTGGACATGCGTATCAGAGTGGGTGTCACAAGAGGCTTCCTGCCCCACATGTGGGGAAGAGTGGGGGCTAGTAGATGAGAGGGGGAGGACTGGGCACACCACGAAGATCAGATCCTCAGTGGAGTGTGCTGGGACTGCCCGGTGGGAAAGACACAGGCCAGGACCAGGAGGGCTGTGGGCTACATGGAAGAGTTTGACTTCTGTCCTGGAAGCTGTGAGGAGCCAGCAAGGCCTCTGAAGAAGAGATTGGGGAGATCTGGTTTGTGTTTTAAGTATTGTGTTGGCCACAGTTTGGAGACAGGATTGGTGGTGGTCCCTTAGGGCCTGGGGATATGATGGGGGGAGGTCAGGCCTGTGTGAAGAAAAGCAAGTGGGAGGTGCTGGTTGTAGAGAGTTTGGAAACCATGAAGTGTGTGTTTTATGCTGTGTGTGCTACTCCTTAAGAACCTATGGTGAACATGTTATAAGAAAATGCATGTACAGTAGACTAATAATACTGTTACTTTCTTTAGGATTCTTTGTTGCTTGAAGCTGTGTGGTGTCTACATGTACAAAATGTCGTGAGCCTGCAAGAGCTGGTGGAAAGGTAGCATCCTAGAGATGGTTCTGTGTGATTTCAGTATATACTTGTGCAGTCTGGTCTAATGAGTTATATTTCAAACCAAAAGTCACCTGGAGAAACTATTGCTTTGTTATTTAAAGAAAACATTTGTCCTAGCTGAGGTCCTTATCATGCATGTTTTCTTTGTATAAGGTGTATCCTTTGCTAATAGCCTTTAAAACTGAAAGAAAAGGGAACATTCATGTAAATAAAGTTGACAGAATACATTCAGGGTAAACTTTTATTCTTTCCTGAAATCTCACTAGGAGTCCGAAAAGGAACTTTATAAGTAAGCCTATAAAAACAGAGGAGTAGGGTCCCAGCCTCCCAAGTAGCTGGGACTACAGGTGCCTGCACAATGCCCAACTATTTTTTGTTGCAGTTGTCATTGTTGTTTAGCAGGCCCAATCTGGGCTCGGACCTGCCAGCTCCGGTGTATGTGGCTGGCACTGTAACCGCTGGGCTATGGGTGCCGAGCTTGAAAACCTACAATATTTGGAAATCAAACAACACAATGCTATGTAACCATTGGGTCAGAGAAGTCACAAGGGAAATTAGAAAATATGTTGAGACAATTTGAAAAGAAAACATTATATCAAAATTTATAGGACGCAGCTATAAAAATGCTTAAAGAGAAATTTATAACCATAAAAGGCTGTATTTGAAGAAAGAATGATCTTGAATCAACAACTTAAGCTTTGACTTTTGAAAACTAGAAAAAGAAGAGCAAAGAAAACCCAAAGCAAACTGAAGGAAAAAAACAATAAGAATTAGAGGAGAAGTTAGTGAATTAGAATAGATAAAAACAGTAATGAAAATGAGTGAAAAAATTTGACACTTTGAAAGGATTAACAAAACTGGTAAACCTTTAGCATTGTTAATAAGAAAAAAAAGACAAATGACCAATATCAGGAATGAGAGAAGGGCATCCCTGCTGACCTCACAGAAGTTACACATGTTGTAGGATACCATAGATAACTTAGCAAATTAGAGACCAGGCAAACGGGCAAATTTCTAGAAAGGTGCATATGACAGAAATTGACTTAAAATGAAAATCTAAAATTACTAACTTAAAATCTTGCTATATAGAAAATCCCAGCCTTAGATGACTTTACTAGTGAATAATGCCATTCCTTCATAAGTTCTTCCAGAAAACAAAGCAGAAAACACTTCCCAACTTATTCCAGGTACTAAAGACAGACAATGACAGCAACAGAAAACTACAGATCACTATCTCTAATGAATGTAGATAAAAAAAAAATTAGCAAACTTGGCTTGGCACCTGTGGCTCAAGTGGCTAAGGCGCTACATACACCTGAGCTGGCGGGTTCGAATCCCAGCCTGGGTCTGCCAAACAACAATGACGGCTGCAACCAAAAAATAGCTGGGCGTTGTAGCGGGTGCCTGTAGTCCCAGCTACTCGGGAGGCTGAGGCAAGAGAAT